AACATAAAACATAGATACCTCATTCGCTGCATTCTCGCATGTAAACAATCCAGAGCTCAGAACGGTCAAGAATATAGCTGTTTGTCAATGTTAGTCATCTGCAACAAATACTCACGTCTCTTTCCAGGTAAAGAACGATATAAATCAAACAAAAATTGCTGCTGTGAACAGACAGAAAAATCTAGAAGAAATTTTTGATTTTATTTTTGTATAAAGGAGTATCACATAAATTCGTGCAACCAGGCAATCATCTCGCGCCTTGCAAAAATATCCTCTGAAACAAAATAAAATAAACATACTAGGACTAATCCAACAAAAAAAACATAGCCTTAAAAACGTTTTGACAAGCAAATATATAATCACATATTTCCGCAGCTAAAGAGCAAATCGTACTGCATTAACTGCCAACGATTGTCACCAAGCAGGTTTCGTATTTACCAGAAGTGTCGCCCTAAAATTCGAAAATTCATCACAGACAGATATGGAAGACACGGAAGCTAATCACAACGCCTTTAACAAGTACCTCCCGTCATTCAGATCCTCATACGTTAACATGTGCATTGTTGTTGCTGGAAGGTGTCTTGAGCATTTGCCTTTTACCTCGGTATTATTCGTTGGAGAGTACAGTATATCACCGACAACCCCTGTTCATTCAACGCCGAAGCCAGCTATTTACCTTGATAAAACTTTCCAGTGACTTTCCGTACATCTTGAAAAATTCGTCCCTGATCAGAGCCAAATCGACCTCTGAGCGACTGACTATAATACGAATCAGCGTCCGGTCGTCGGTTCCTATGCCTTTCATGGACTGGTACAATCTTTCAGCAAAATAAGACGGCTTCGAGCGAATAACTTTCACTGAAAGAAATATATTACTCAAAAGAGGTCATAAAACAAGGAATTTAATTCATGTATCTTTAGACACTCTACATAAACAGAAAGTGTATACCATTGCATTTAGGTGACAATCAATGAGATTTATTTACGTACTCACGTCACTATCCATAGAATCAGAAACGAAGGACACGATGAATAGGAAAAAAAATCCAGTTAATGATACAGTTAGGCGTTTTTTAACAAAAAGCAGTTACTGTGATTATCCTACATTAAAGATAATATATTGCAGAGCTCAGATCATATAAATGTAATACATACACATCCGAAGATTGAGTAACTTGTTCATACTGAAAAATGCATATAAACTGTTTATTTATGTAAAGAAATAAGTAGATCAATCAGGTGATTGACCAGTACTAACGAACCGGCTCGTCTCTCACAAACGTTCTTCAGCGTGGTCCAGGTTGGTGAGAAACCAGCTGCAGAAACTCCTGGACATGTCTTTCTCCCCTTCCTTCGATGCTAGTTATTCAACTAAGCTTTTATAGGCTATAGACTTTGCTTCGGCGATAACTTTCTTCGCTTTTGCCTTCGATATGGCATATTCTACTCTGTCTTCCGCGCTGTTTGAAAGCTATCATTTCTTGAACAGCTGTTATTTCTGTCGTGTAATGGCCTGTGTCTTCCAATTTCATTACCATTTCTTTCTGAGTGTTGTGGCTTTTGTTTCTTTGACTAGACCTCTCGCATTCTCCATCATTATTCCGGTCATTCGCAAAACCTACTTTGTTCACTTTATTGTTCCTGTTTCCGTTCGTCATTTTTTCATTTGACCTTTAGACGCTTCTTTCAGTCTCGGTTCGAGCTTTCATCCCTATTATCAGGGCTGTCGTCGTACCCACCGTTTTACTGGACTGTCTTAGAGAGAGAGATCTAGGACCAGCATCTGGTGCTAGCGTGTGACAGTTTCTATCGAGATAACTTTTGAATTTCTGATATTCTTCAGTTCGTTCTGCGGAACGCAAGAGTACATCTGGCCATTGATGTGTCCGACCTTATAACTCAGCAGGTGGTTCCATTTATGTTTGCCTGAGCCATATCATACGCAACTGCCATCTGCAAGATGTTCACTCCACTATTTAACATAACATGTTCGTCAACCACGTATCATGTCTTAACCACACTGAGGTTTCACGATGTGCCCTTTAAGGTTACTCCACACCAAAACTGATAATCACATTTTCGTTTCGCGGTATACATTCGGGATATTTTGGGTGAAATGTCTAGGTTCTCCCAAAACGTCGACTTTTCGGCTTCATTCTGGCCTGTTGAGTCGTAAGGTTGTAGGCACTTGTTATATTTAACCTACAAAATTAGCTTAACGCCCATGACTCTGTCGGCTGACTTCGAATACCCTGTCTTTTAGTCCTTTCATTCAATACCACTCGAACTCCATTTCCTCTGCATCATGTCGAACAGTAAATAAGTCTACAGCCTAGCCCAATCGCTTACGATTTCTCACCGTATCCTGAATACAAGCAATTTCAACGTTCCTTCTTTAAAGACCTTCCGCTAGCTCCATTCCTCCTCTCGTCATTGTTCTGATGTTCCAAATGGCTGTTCGCATGTCAATTTCTCTTTGCGATTGCGTAATAACACCAACTAGTTCCCTTGTTTGTTTATCATGGCCGTCGGGATTTGCTGCTGAGCACTGCCTACGGGAAACTCTCTAAGATTCATTCTATAGGTAGGCTGACTCTCCATATTTGGCCTTGGCACTAGTTTTTGTCTGGCTGGCAGCCGAACCGCCAACCCGTCTTTCACAATCGGATATTTAACCGGCTACGGCTCGCTGGGATTACTAGCATGTTTATCTGATCGGCATGTACGCGCTATGTCACTGAAATGCCATCGGGTCTTGCGGCATTTTCTAGAGAAACTTAGAAGATGAC